ATCATAGCGTGTAAGAAGCAAATTCCAAGCTTCAGCACAATTGGCAGAAGAAACTTCTAGATTAAAAAAGACGTGCGGCGTCGCCGTCCAGATAAGATAGCAAATATTGAAACTTATGTACATCATTTATGCGTTCGTTTTTTGTATCAAGTTAAGAAATGTGTCACGAAGTTCTAACCACCGGAAACACGTGCCGTTAAATTTAGATATTTGAATTTGTAGTCATTTAAAACCCAGCTTAAAGTCAGAATTAACGGGACCGGCTCTAGGCCTACGGCCATTTTCATCATGTGGACCTTGGTTGTAGCCTTTTGCTAAAACTGGTGCTGCAGCCAAATGTTTAAACCGTTCACTTTCAATATCATTTGAATTTAATATCTCGATCTAAGATTGCAGTGAATCAAACTTCGTTGACAGACTTTCAATAGTTGTGAGCTTTAAAGTTAATTCAGTTACCTTAGCCTCTGACAATTCTGGCAAAAGAGATGTGGTCATTTGTAAATAAAGATTATAAAACAAGCATTTTGTCAAGAAATTTAAATCAAGATTCGCTCGAATTTTTTTTTGTCAAATACATAGTAATGGTATTGGACTTCGCAGTATGTAGATTATATTAGTATTGGTATTACACTTGCATTAACAATTCCAACCAGTTCATCAGTGCATGTAAAACTTTATTAATAAATATTTTTGCTACCCTCCATTCTGTGGACGCTAACTGAAGAAAATAATCATATTGTTATGAACACACAAAGGAACGAACGCCATCTAGCGTCAACTATTAAAACCACTAAAGAACAAAGACGACATAAAACCTCTATTCAACACTAGATGGCGTTAGAGGAACTGCTGTGGAACTATAGTCTCGAAAACCGGGTACATTCGCGAACTTTCCGGAATCACGAACATGTTCGTGCGTGTCGTGTACGTTCCAGGAATGATCTTTCTGGATTAGTCCGGAACCGGTCTCGGCCCATATAAAAAGCCGCAGGGAGGCGAGCGATGACAGTTCAGTTTGAGCTACCTTCGAGGCGACTTCGGAGTGAAAACTAGTGATCAAGAGCGATACCAGTGAAACCTACGACTTGGCTACAATCTAGGACATCGTTAGTGCTTAGTGATTGGACCTAGTGCTTTCTGTTGGACCTAGCGCTAGTAAATAAAGTCTTCAAAAGAGTCAGCAGGTCTTTCTCTCCAAATCCTTCGAACCCCGAACACGTAACAATATTATATTACAGTCAATGAAATAATTTTTAAAGCGCAGAACCGCGTGCGCTTATGATAGTAGTGAAAATACACAAATAAATGTATTGATGGAAGAATTAGGAGACTCCTACCGAGCGTAGTCAAAAGACAATTAGCAATTTAATTAGCCTGGAACCAAAAAACGTAGTAAAACGAAAATTATGCAACCCGCACTATGGGCGAAAATGAGTTATTTATACCGAAAACTGTTTTTAGTTAAAATTTTAATATGAAATAACAAGTCAAGTAAAACTCCAACGCATCACGTCATGACCATACGTTAGCAACAATTCATTTTCCATGGAATGTTTTCGTTTTATCCTACCCACTACTAAAGGTACCTTAATGAAACATCGATAACGAACCAATTTTTCATGTAACGCAAAAGTAGACATATTTCTAAAAAAAAAAGTGGAAGAGGAGAGACTGGTCGCTGGAACAAAACTGCTCAGGAAGATTTTATTAAACAATTTTCTTCTGGTTTACCTCACACACAGATGGGCAAAAGCATTTGAGAGCAAGGGCAGGCGCTTGCAGCTAGTCTGGACATAGCGAAGGCCTTTGATCGGATATGGCACCAAGCACTTCTTTCGAAGCTGCCCTCCTATGGGCTTCCCGAGAAGTTATGCAACTAGATCACCAGCTTTTTAGCAGATCGGAGAATTAAGGTCGTATTCGACGGTGCATGCTCTGATCCTAAATTTGTCAATGTTGGTGTTGCGCAAGGCCGCGTAACAGTCTCCCGCTCTGTTTCTTCTGCATATCAATGATATGTTGCAAATCAGCAACGTTCATTGTCCGTACACTGGCCGTGCTAACATTTATCGGGAAAACGTCTACGTGAGCCGGAACAAGCTTGTGTCTGAAGTCGAGAGTTTGATAACTAAAGTCTCAGACTGGAGTCGACTAACTTAGTCCAATTTAACCCCAATAAGACACAAGTTTGCGCGTTAACCGCTGAAAATTCCCCGTTTGTCGTAACTCCTCATTTTGAGAACACTCCCCTAACTGCCATAGTAACTAGTATCGGAATATTTGGCGTCAAATCTCGTCTAATATCCAGTTCCGCAGTCAATTTGAAAGTACACGTCGGCTCAACGCCTAAACCTTTATAAGGCGCGAATTCGGCCCCACATGGAGTACTGTTCTCACCTCTGGGCGGGAGCCCCCTGTTACCAGCCCCCTATTACCAGCTTCTTCCATTTGACCGCCTCCAACGTAGGGCAGCTAGGGTTCCTTTGGCTCCGCGTAGAGATGTTGGATCACTCTGCATCTTCTCCTGCTTCTATCACGGGGAGTGTTCCGAAGTATTGTTTGTATTGATCCCGGCGGCTGACACCAGGGGACATCGCGCCTAAACCAAAAATTTCATCCACATCACTTTGATGTCCAGCGTTCCACAACAGCGCGATTTTCAAGACATTTCCTGCCCCGCACAATCACTCTGTGGAACCAGCTGCCGCCGGCGGTCTTTCCGAACCGTTACGACCTGGGAACCTTCAAGAAGAGAGCATATTCTTTCCTAAAAGGCTGGCACTGCATTTGTAAGCCCTCTAGTATTGCAGGTGTTCATGGGCGGCGGTGATCACTTACCATCAGGTGAGCCTACTGCTCGTTTGCCGCTTTTTTCCCATAGAAAACACCTGTAATGTAAAAATTTAAAAAAAAAAACTGATCAATTAGATTAGAAAGCTACGAAAACTCATGTGTGTGTAAAGCATGTATTTTGACTTTACAACGTAGATCTAACACTATCAGTCGTGTTGATCATGAGCTCGCCGCTCAATTATTAAAAGAGTTTTAAGTTAATTATTGAAGTGAAGTCTTGAAGCGAGTGGTTGCCTTGAAAGTCCTTAGCTTTGCGTGTTTTATTATCCTTTAGGGAACATGACAAAAACTTGGCTCTTTTCAAAACGGTAATTATTTAAGGACTCTGGAACTCGTACCGGACGTTGCAAATAAAATTAAAAAAACTCTAAGGTACTAAACAAAACTCTAAAGGTTCTAAACAAAATTAAACACTATGGCTACTAGTGTGCCTTGCGAAAGATTGTTTTCAGCTGCAGGGAATATTTTAAATGAAAGAAGAAAACGACTAGGGAGCCGAAAAGTTCAACAATTATTTAATTAAATTTTAATATTTCTACAGAAAAATATTTTGTAAATAATGTAAACAGGTATAACAATAAAAAAAAATGTTAATCATAATTACAATCAGGGACTTGTTAATCGATTTTTGTACTTAATTGTAAATTACATTACAATTAATTTAAACCTTTTAACTACGCCAGCTTGGAGCTTTTATTTTCAGCTGACAGTCCTAAGCCCTACTACCCTACCCTATTCTTCGCAGACGGAGTCGCGGGTACAGCTATTAACTTAAATAAACCTACCGATATATCAATTACTCGTAAATTTTTATTACAATATGGCTTCAGAATATTTTCTCGGGAAAGAACAGAAGCCTACGCGAACTGTGAAGCAAGTTACTTAATCCTCGAAATTCTAAAATGCAAATTTATATCTTATCATTATACGTATAATGTTCAGATTGTGCGTATACGTGAAATAAAATACTTTCAAAGTATTTTACGCCTCGATTGGAGTATTTTAAGTCTTAGCGGTATAACGACAAGGTTTAAACTTGCTAAGAAATAAGTAATCCACTCGTTGCGTTGGACAAAAAATACTTTGAAAGTATTTTGATACCTGGTTTCTGCACCTGGAATTCGAAGGTAGACGTACTTTTAAACCCTGGTACGCAATTTAGCAAGTATAACCCATCCCTATGCGGGTCCGCTGCGCGAATACAACGCATTACATAAAAGTTATTTACCTGATGCGGTGTAGTGACGCGGTGCAGATATCTGAGGCACACGTTAGCACGTGGCGGCAGTTCACCAAAATAGTGTGAGCAAATTCAATATCGGCGAGTGTTAAGTGCTATCGATTGCACTTATGTAAGCATTCAATGTCCAGGCAAGTTTGCGAAGGCAAAATTAAATGTTTATTTTAAGTTGTGGTTTTTTATATGAAAAGTTGCCAAGCGCACAGGTGGTTCACCTAATGTTAAATGAATACCACCGTCCATGGACATCTGCTACACTACACCCAAGTTTTTGCAGATGCGTTGACAACCTTTTGAAAATAGGGCTCCGGCTACCTCGCTCACCAGACGATAGGAGAATGTATTAAATTATTAAAATAAAATTCTTTCTATCTGATCTTAATGTAGATGAAGAATGGAAATGGACAACGGACAACAAATTTAATATTGCGTTCCGTTTCTACTCTAAATATTGTTTTAAACTTTTCTTTTATTTGTGTAGAACTTTACCTAAAAATACCTCAAAAAGTCGTAGCTTCTTAAGGTCTAATTAACAGACTTAATCTTCCTTTCCAATAAAGTTAGTTAAAAAGGAACGTCACGGAGAAGAGATTGATGTATGATCTTTTATTTTGAATCTCTTTTAACATTGAAAATAGAGAAATTTCACATACTTTATTTTTATGCCAAAGTTTATTTACCAAAAATAAAGTAGGATACATCATTATAAAGTATGGTTGGCAACCCTAGCCCTTTACAACCGACTCATAGTTACGCGTGCATTTAACTTAGAAAAATTCTAGCGCTTCCCATAACTTATTTTACGGAACGCAACCGACATCGCTCGCTCGTGCATGATATAGTGCTTCGAAGAAAAAATAATAATACAAGTTGTGGCTCGTTAGTGCGGCACAGTACCTCGTGGGAGATGGCGGCGTATTTTGGCGGACGCGGCGCTTCGAGTACGTAATTATTTTCGCATGTTTTTCAATGGAATATTATTATTAAAATTTTTATTTCTATTAGTAATAAACCAAATCATAATATTAATACGTATTTTTAGTATTTGAGTTAATTATTGATTGACTTATTCTGCATCAAATCAAAAGATGCACTTTCGTGTGATTTAGATGTTACTTATACTTTTTTAATATTATTACAGTGTTATTTTATTTTATTGTACGATGTAATTTATGTGTTTTCTTAATTTTTTTTTAGGTCGTTTACATGACGATGAGATCATACAAGTGTGGGGCGACGCTAATGATTCGGATATCTAGATTTTTAATAACTCCGGCGACGAGGGACCATTTTTTGGCCCTGCTGTCTTCGACAATCTAGGTGACCATGATTTGACCGAAGAACTTGCTGAAAATCAAAGATATGACCAAGTGGAAGACAGTCCAGCACCAGATCAGTCCATACCAGCACCTACTGTCGTAGCACCAACCACTGAACGTCCGAGTCGCTCTGGTTCCCACTCTCGCCGCTGGAGTTACTTCGTTTGAAGATAAGCAGCATACGTACCCTGCACGACCTGTTAAATCGGTAGGACAACCAATCGTTTACGTACAAGATTACTTTGATGACCAGTTTTATGAAATGGTCAGTACTTGCACAAATTTATATTATTTGAGAAAGACTGGGAATGAATTGAAAACCACAAAGTCCGAGATACAGAAACTTTTTGGTATTCATATTTTAATGGGATGTATTCCATTCCCAAGGCTGCCTATGTACTGGCGTAATGGCATTTCCTTAGATAAAATAACGAGAAAAATGAGCCGCGATCGATTCTTACAATTGCGAAATGCACTGCATGTTGTAACTACTGATACTGCACTACCTGGACAGGCGACAAATCCGTTGTGGAAAGTCCAACCTATGATAAATCAAGTTCGAAATGGTTGTTACAAGCAAGAAAGGATTCCAGGATACTACTCTATTGATGAGCAGATGATCCCATTCACTGGTCGATGCCCATTGAGACAAGTTGTTAAAAATAAACCACGACCAGTTGGTCTCAAAAAACTATGTCTTGACAACAAGTGATGGGCTTATGTTAGACTTTGACATTTATCAAGGAGCTAAGACAATGTTTGGGAACACTAATCTTGGTCTTGGACCCTCGGTAGTTTTGCACTTATCCAGAAGCGTTCCCGAAGGAAGTTGTTTATATCACGACAGACATTTTGCCACCATTCCATTAATAGAGGAATTACAAAAGCAGAACCTACACAGCACAGGAACTATCATGGCGAATTAAATACATGTGTGGGCGAGGTAGGTCGATGGTGTCGTCAGGGGCAAATCAAATATCAGAAATTCGGTGAGCGCGTATACATCTGCGAGGAGAGTGACATATGTGCGTCCCCGTATGATGTCTAAGTGCAACTGACTAGGCTCGCGTCAACGGTCAAATTCAACGGCTGTGCAACAAAGTACAGCTACCTTCCACTTATTTTTAAAATATGATAAACCCTAAGCGCGCGAAATACAAATCACCGTCCTCGTATGTATACGCCATTTTATTAATTTAAATTCAAGAACAAATACATAAAGGTGAAAAGGTAAGTAGTTAACTTAAAGGTAAGTAATTATATGTGATAGTAATTTTGACGCTACATAAAATCAAATATTTACATAAACTAATTATAAATATTTTATATTCCAGGTGAAGCAGCGTGGCCGTCATCAACATCCTCCCCCCCAGTGTCGGTTTGTCGACACGAATCAATAACGCGGAGTAAAGCCACGTGTGCAGCTGATCGCTTTATCACTCCTGACCTAGTTCTAACATCTACTACTCTAACCCTGCCGTCCGAGCCTGGGTAAACCTTTTCAACAATACCTATTGACCAGCAATTACGAAACAATGACGGATGTACCACAACAACGAGATCTCCTACCTTAATTTGTTGACCTTCCCTATTCCATTTTCGGCGAGGAATGAGCTCGGGCAAGAATTCTTTGACCCATCTGCTCCAAATTAAATCCGTTAGCCGTTGAGCTATGTGCCATTGACGTCTGAGGTATAAGTCACCATCATCGAAAACTCCAGGTCGAGGTAAATTCGATGACGATCCTAACAAAAAATGATTCGGAGTTAACGCTTTTTCACTGCGTGAGTCCACCGAAACATGTGTGTGGTTATGTTCTCCACTTCAGTAAGAAGTGTCGCTAAAACTTCCTCTATGGGACTCCTTCCTTAAGTACTACTTTCAAAGCTGCTTTCACACTTTTGATAAGGCGCTCCCATGCTCCACCCATATGAGGGCTTGCTGGAGGTATAAATTGCCAAGTTACTCCTCTTTTCAACGCCTCAGTAATAACTAGCTACTGATTCGATCTCCTCAAAAGATTTTTGGAGCTCAGAATCCGCTCCACGCATGTTGGTTCCATTATCTGACAAAACTGTGTGAGGCCAACCCCGGCGCGCAGCCATCCTCCTAAGCGCCATTATAAGAGAGTCAGCTGTTAACGTAGATACTATTTCAATATGTATGGCTCGTATGGTTAGACACGTAAAAAGCACACCATATCTTTTGGGTCTCTGCCGGCCCACCGTGACATTCATAGGTCCAAACAAATCTACTCCACAAATTGTGAAAGGTCTTTGATGATGTACCAATCTTTCAGCAGGTAAGTCACCTAGGCGGGGTGGTTTCGGCGTTGCTTTTCTTATTCGACAAATGAGGCACTGAGATGCTACGGAACGAACAGTAGGCCTTAAATTCACGAGCCAGTATTTTTGGCGCAACTCGTTTATTACAAGTTCCTTATAGGAATGCGCAGGCGCGTACGTGATATTCTTTTACTATTAGCCTGGCTATGAGTCGCTGACCATCCAAAATCACGGGGCATTTCATACTTTCATTAACATATTTTACAGCAGTTATCCGACCACCGACTCGTAACAGCCAGTCGCTGTCTAAAAAACGGAGTTTAGGAACGCAAGCGGCTATCCCTATTTATTTCTTTTTTCTGTTTCAACAAATCGATTTCAGTCTGAAATGATTGTGACTGAGAGTAACGCAGCAAAAGAACTTCAGCTTTTTTCATTAACGATTCAGTAATGCACCGAGTATTACTCCGTCTACATTTTTCTATAAATAATAGCACAACAGCGGTGCTGTGAACTAAGCGAAGCCACACCGAGAAGCGGTCTGGATTAGCGACAGGTAACTTACAAATATATATATTATCCTTTGACGGCATTGTTATTGTAAATATTTTTTCTAAAATTTCCTTATTAATTTTTTCTTCTTTTTCAGGTTCTCGTGGCCAGTATGTTTCCACTTTAGACAGAAAAGACGGACCCGTAAACCACGATAAGTCCTTTTGAAAATCGTAAGTATTATTTTTTGTAGCTAATTCGGCTATGTTTAAATTAGTCGGTACGTAATGCCATTCATTAATTTTACTTAATTCATCAATATTATCATACTCATTTCTAATCCAATGCATAACAATCATAGAATCCGTCCAATAAAATACTGATGAAGGTTTATTTCGATGTTCCTTTTGTATAGTCTCTGCTAACCTACATGCCAACAACGCACCTTGAAGCTCCAGTTTAGGGACGGTTATCGGTTTAAGCGGCGCGACACGATTTTTACTCGCTATAAAAGATACTTGTACCTTGTCACCGTGTTGTTTACGATCATTTTTGTGGCGGTGGCGATATCCGGTAAACTGTCAATGAAATCGTCCATATACTGATTTTTTCGTATAGCATTAACTGCATCAGACATTACTGTTTCGAACCGCAAAGTATTTTTATTTTGATTTATATATTGCGCAATAAATGGTGAACAATTTGCACCAAAAATTAACGAAGTCATAACATACTTTTTAATTGGATAAACAATATGCGAGGAAGACATTTTGGGATCATTGGTAAAATTAGATTGATTTTCGTCTAATAAGTAAATATCTTTACATAAGAAACCTAAAGAATTAATATCCTGCTCTCGTATTTTTATTCTCAAAAACATGTATATCACCAATGTAACGGGTGATTTCATCACTTTGTCGAAATAGTCGTTTTTCTAAAGACTAGGCTGCATGTACTATGAACCTTTGCCTTTTCGAAAGGTCGAATCAAAAAGTTCATGTTCATCAGTTTCATTTGGTCGTACTTGTCATTTGAGATTGCCGCCGGTTCTAGTTGACATGGGATAAATTAGTTTTTGTGGATCTATTATCTTCGACCGGTAAGTAATTGCTTTGTTTCGTTCATGCCAGTGGTTGTTTTGTTTACGTATTTCGTTTTCATATCAATTCGCTTTTTTACAGTGCATGGCTAGAGGTTGAAATCAGAACACATTCCTGGTCGTATTATCTGAGTGATTGCTGTCTGGGAAACTCTGTGCTGGATTTGTTATCCCTCGTGGTAAGATCCTTTGTTATTTTCACTGGTTTCCTACTAAAATTGTAAAAGACTTGCATTGAAAATGTATTTAGAAATGTCACATGAAGGTAGGTTGAGAATTTATTGTCTCGTGTTTCTAAGGGCGCTTTTAGTGTCACGCGGATTTGCTCACTCACGCGGGATTGGACCGCATGCGTAGCATCCGCAAAGAACAATTTCATATAGGTATCTATTGTAAAGCGTGATAAACGCACGCGGGACGCGGGGCGCTGTGCGGGGCGTCACCCCGGTGCGGGGTATCCGCATGCGTAAGCGCTGCCTACAACTTCAGTGCCCATTTTAGAGTCGAGCGGGGCGCACGCGCCGTATTGTACTACCGAAATGAAAATCGATACAGAACGATTAATCATTGAAGTTCATCTGCGGCCCGTTTTGTGGGATAAACGCAATGAATTATACAAAAACAGGGACGCGAGGGAGGCTGCATGGAGAGATATTTTGAAGGAGAGGAAAGAAAAGAGGCGGGTATGTGTTTGGTTCATTATTTTATTTATACAAGCATCATTACTTTATTAATATAAGCATAATTATTTAATTCACAAATAACATCAAAAACCTTCTAAAACCTTTTGAGTTTAGTTAATTAATTATATATCGGTGTTGCCAGGAGACTTTTCCTTCATTGATAAAGTAATCTGCAAATATATCTCTGATATTACTTGCCGACGTATTACTACTTTCAGTCTGCTGCCTGGGTAGTGGTCCCGTAAAACCATTTGTGACAAATGTATGGCTGACCTTGTAGCCATCCCGTTTCCTTATGAAATTGTGAAGTACACATGCCGTCTTGACTATTAATTGTGCTAGATCTAACTTGACATTCATGGATCTGTGAAATATTCTAAATTTATTTGACATAATTCCAAAAGTGCATTCTATGTACCTTCTAGCTCTGGACAGACGGTAATTAAATATTTTCTTTTTGAAAGGAATCTAATAAATATATATAATATAATATAATGAAATATCGTTTATTTCAGGCAATATTTACATTACAAGATGTCCTCCTTCCGGAAGTTTTCACCTTAATTTTGATGATGGCAAATTTTACTGTAACAAATAAACAAATTGCCCGATTCAATCCGGTGTTTTTTCCAAAAATCCTTAAATGAAGTTCTAATTATTTTTGTAAAAAATGAATTATTTCGTCGATGTCTGCGCCGCGCCGCCCCGGCCGCGCCGTCTGCGTCTAGTATAAGATTCACTTTGCGCTATCGTTCGCGGCGAAATTGACCGGCCTGCGCCGGCCCGCCGTTTGCGTTGCGCCTAAGGGTACTTTTCCTTCAACTGCGGCCTTATTTTTCCACTCTGTATAGGTATATATATATTGCTTGATTTATCTAATGCTTCATGAGACAGTGTAAAGTTGACAACATGTGTGAATTAAGGAGGGCCTTTAATCGAATGCAGTTAAATTTCCAACTAATATCAGATTTGTACACACGGCCACAGATCAAGCTTCCCAAAACCAGTATAAACAGGACTCATGCGTTGTTTATTATCGTAGACGACTCGGCGCCCGGCGAGGCCCTAGCAAGTTCCGTTTATTGGTACTGGTTTTGGGTAACTTGATCTGAAACTGTGTGTACTTTTGCCACTTACTTATTATATTTTGTCATTTCAGACAAGAAAATACAACAACGCTGGCGAACAGCAAGGGACACTTACCAGAAAGACAAGATATCTGAAAAAAATCAGCCATCCGGCTCTGGGAGTAAGAAGAAGAAGAAGAAATATTCTTACTATGACATTTTGACTTTCTTAGACAGTACAACGGAAACTGCTGGAGAAGAGTCACTCTGTGAAGAAATGTCTGAACAAAGTAATTTAGAAAACACCTAATGAGTCCACGCAACCAGATACTTCACGTCAAGAAAGTTCTCACCCAACATCAAAACAAAAACAAGTAAAATCTAAAAAGCAAGCACCATCTGAATTTGAGGCACAGTTATTAGAATGCTTAAAGTCTAATCAACTGGAGCTAGAAAGTGAGGATTTGGCTTTCTTTCAGTCTCTGCAGCCTTCATTAAAAAGATTCACTAGATATCAAAAACTAATGTTCAGAACAAAAGTGTTAAATATAGTTATGGAAATGGAAAGTCAAACACAACCTGCATACTACAGTCCCATACCTACAACAAGTTCTAGTGCTTTTACTGAGCTTGACAGTTTGTCACCGATAAATCAAGATTACCAAACCAATAGTATAATCCAGGATACTTCGAGTCTTAACGACAATGCTATTAGTTCTGCTGCAGTGAATGACAATGAAACTCTTATTTCGACTGAAAGCGGCCTGTTTAATATCACGTCTTATGACGTAATTTATACCCCAGCAACAACATCATCTACAGGCGAAAGTAATGTCAACGCTCAGGATACAAATTTACAAAGAAATGAATGATGTAAAATTTGATTTTTTAATTTATGAATAAAACTCTTTTTATTAAAATGAGTACGATTAACTTTTTTTCTCCAGTTCTCTCTAATTGTTTGTTTAGTCATATGAGTGCGGTTGTACACACGGCACAGATCAAGTTACTCAAATCCAGTATAAGCGGGACTCCGACGGGTTACCTAAGTATGATAATACGCAAGGCGCGAGTTCCATTTATGCTGGTTTTGGGTAACTTGATCTGTGGCCATGTGTACTTTATCAGATAAAAAAAAGGATTGTGTATGTAGGTTGAACGTACCAATCCCAAACCAATTAAGGGCTTTTTTTGACTTTAAATTACTGTCATGTGCAAACCTATAACTTTTATCTATATTATAATAAGTAGCGTGTGATGAAAGGTAGGAATGATTCCACTTTAATGGCGACATTTTATGAGTGAAATAATCTTATTTAATGAAATTTCAACATGAAATTGAATGAAATTATGAACAATGAAATTTCAGAGTACATGACAAAATTTTTTTTTGCACATGTAAATTTACACATGACAGTAATTTGAAGTCAAAAAACGTTTATCCTACCTGTTCAAATCCCTTTCCACTAAATCATAGCAGGAAATTAAATATTTAAAATTTAAAACTTACCTTAATGTAATAGCGAGCCTCTCAATCGGTTGTATTGTAATCCTTCGTAAACTGCTTTTTTGTAGCTTATTCTCAATTTTACACAACAGTTCATCAAAAGAACGAATGGACATTCGAAAGTAATTTTTAAATTTACGTTCATTATTTTGTAGTTTTCCAAAGCGTGTAACAAACGCCCCAGCAAGAAGCCTATTTTCAAGAAAGGGATCAACATGTACTCTTGTCTTCTTGTTTCGTCGTTTGTAAAGTATGTAAGCGACACATATTCTTCTGACATTGATCATTTTTGAACACGTCTATACCGTTACGCAGCCCGTAGAAAACTGAAACTCATGCTGCGTATGATCCGCAGCGTGAAATTTTACGCATGCGGTCCAATCCCGCGTGCGTGAGCAAATCCGCGTGACACTAAAAGCGCCCTAAGTATGGTTTTTCGAATATCACAGGTGGATGCTGAAGGCATAGGTGGCTGGCAAGCTGGTCTGAGCTGCTGCTCAATTAAATATTGTTTTTTACCTCCAGTTGGTAAGTGTTTTACATCTTATAATTGTAGGTGGATTAAAATCCCTGCCTTTGTTCTACAATGTAGTGTTTGTTGGCAGGAGGTCTCCTACATACCCCCCAGCAGTGTGGCTGTACACACTACACTTAGCCTGACTTTCTCTACTGGTTCTGAGCTCAACGCTGACCTGTGCACACAGGGCAGATGTCTCTGCGGTGACATAGATTTTAAATAACTACCTGATTGGACTTTGTTTTTTAAATTGAATTGCATAACTTTCATAATCTTAAATTAATTAATTATCTAACCTTTTTATGGTCGCACAAAGTAATGTGTAGGTCCTATGTACTCACGACTCCCTGAGATACTTAATTGTATTTATTACAACAGTCTGTTCCTAACAGACAAGGCGCCCAACTCATTATTATTGTTATATTTTTTTAAAATATATTGTATCTGAGCTAGTCCAGGGATTGTAACATTAAACTGAAGGGATGAATACAACTTCTTAACTGCTAATAAATCTTTTATTAAATCTTCGCATCATTATCTAGACACCCACTATTAAAACGTTACATTGGCGCCCAACGTGGGGCCCGACGTACTATTTACTTTTTGTGACCATACTTTAATTAAAAAACAAAATATTTATTATCACAAGTTTGTGTCATGCTCTTTTTACTGTTTGCTGTGTGTTTAAGTGGAATATTATTCCATGTTTTTCACTAAAATTTCTTGATGTTGTCAATATTTAGGATAACCTTATCTTAAGTTATTAATGCAGATGGATAGTTTTAAAGACTATTAAATAAAAATATAAAAGTGTACTGATACTTGCTACTGCCTTTGCTGCTTAATTTAAAGATTGTGTGTTCTGTTTACAGTCATTTTAACAAAAATAATTAAATGTTAAAAAAAAGTTTTGTAAATGTATATGACTTGATGATATGTTATTAAGGTATAACAATAGTATAACTATAACTTACTAAAGGAAAAACTGTAAACTGACTGCGACCATAAATAATATAGAATTTAAAGATCTTAATAATTTAAAAAAATTTATTAACTGGTGTTAGAAACAATGTCTCGTGAAATAAATCCCAATTATTTAAAAAAGATGAGCTTGAATATGAGGTGATAATAAGAGGT